TGCCAGGCGGGGAGTTTGACTGGGGCGGTACACCTGTCAAAGAATAACGCAGGTGTCCTAAGGCCAGCTCAGCGAGGGCAGAAACCTCGCGTGGAGCAAAAGGGCAAAAGCTGGCTTGATCCTAATGTTCAGTACGCATAAGGACTGCGAAAGCACGGCCTATCGATTTTCTTGAATAAAGAGTTTTTAGCAAGAAGTGACAGAAAAGTTACCACAGGGATAACTGGTTTGTGGCAGCCGAGCGTTCACAGCGACGTTGCATTTTGATCCTTCGATGTCGGCTCTTCCTATCATTGTGAAGCGAAAATTACAAAGCGTTGGATTGTTCACCCACTAACAGGGAACGTGAGCTGGGTTTAGACCGTCGTGAGACAGGTCAGTTTTACCCTACTGATGGCAAGTCGTTGCGATAGTAATACCGTTTAGTCCTACAATAACAATGGTGTCGGATATTTGGTTCATGCACTCGGTCGAACGGCCGGTGGTGCGAAGCTATCATCCGCCGGGAGTAACTCTGATCGCCACTAAGGGTGAAACCCATCTAGTCAAATTCGGCAAGGATAATATCATGGAGTCCCGTGAGTCGGGAGGCTCCAAACAATGTGATTACTATAGTCGCACTTCAGCACTTGAGGTGCGGCGTCGAAGCCCATTTGGGTCGTGGAGATCGATGCTGTTCGGATAACTCGTGCATCATGGCTCCGAAGATCCGAATGTAACTCAGTTCGATGTCGGGGCTCGGAATAGTCTGTAGACGACTTCCGTTCCTGGCGGGGTGTTGTACTCGGCAGAGTAGCTCTGCTATAATCCGTTGAGACTCGGCCCTTAGCTAGGTGATTCGTTTTATAAATATTTAATACACGAACACAATATGTAAAATTTTAATGTACGCATACATAGTATGTTTAATGCTATGGCAGTCAAAAAGGAATATTATGTTGACATGCATAATAATAAATGAATTGAAAATAAACTACACGTTCGTATGTAAATATTTAATACACGAACAAGATTTTAAACCAATCTTTTATTATATCCTTTGTCATGGTTGAGAAAATATTTTCAATCTAACTATTTCAAGGGTTGTTTACTACTCCAATTCTTAGCAATAAAAGTTAAAGCACACTATGTTCGTGGACTGAACATTTTATACAAGGCATTTCTTAAAATCTTGCCTAAAAGATCAACGAAACAATTAATTGAAAAGAAACATATATTTATCATCAGCTAACATTAGTCCCAAGGCATTCACAAGAGCCTAGAATGATGATTATTACAATAATCCATCCAGGCTGTTCCTTTGTTGTGGTACACAGGTACCCAGCGCGGACCTTAAACGTTCCCTAAACGGCAATTAAGGACAAAATTACATTTTCTCTTAAAGATATTTATGAAGCAAATAAATAAGATCTCAACTTCACCTTTACGCTTTCAAAAGGATGTAGGGTGAAAATAAGGGATCGATTTTTGACCGAACAATAGAGTAGTTTATACAGCCCTGGATTTTTATGACTGCGCACGATCAAAGATGACATTGTGACTTTATAAATGACGGTTGGTGCTAAGTTTATAATATTTTGATGTTCACCGTGAAAGGCAATCGTTTTACCTCATATTTTGCTAGATATGGGCTAAAAAAATGGCTTTAGAAACCAGTTGATGCACATTTTTATCCTGATTGTTTTTCGTCCAATTCCGTATTCATGAAGATTAATGTACGAGATAGTCGTGGTGGCCCGGAGGTTTAAGACGCCCACTTCTCATGCATGAGGGTGCGGGTTCGAAACCTACCATCGGCAAGTACCAATGTGACTTTTTCCGAGTTATATGTACTTTCTAAGATTATTTAGACACCACTGACAAACGGTGAAGGAAAACATCGTGAGGAAACCTGGACTTATAATTCTAATTATAAGTTTGAAATCGCCAACCCGCATTGAGCAAGCGTGGCGATTAATGCTCAAACCTTCTCGGTGTGAGAAGAGGCTTTACTCAGCAGTGGGCATTTATAGGCTGTTGATGATGAATGTACGAGATTACTAATTATTTCTTTATTTTTACTGTGTCTTCGTCTAACTGATAAAACATTAAAGGCATTTACAGTTCACGTGGTTCCAAATTAAACTTAAACCCAAAATTATAAAGTCCAAGTTAGATTTCATAGTCTCAGTCACATCGCAATGGTAACACTGAGCCTAACCCCATTTATTATGTATACTTCATTACGTATTAAAAAGGCATTTCAAAAAGAATTCGGAACTTGTTTGTAATAATTCTTTAGACTCATAATTTTATTACAGTTTTAGATTCATTTGTATGTGTAGATCATTTTCCTACTTCCTCTTTTAATGGAATCGACATAACTTTATTTATGGTTATAAAGAAATAATAGATTAAGACGCAGTGTTAAAATTTTGAAATCATAGTACGAAAACATCGATTTTAATCGCGATAAACCTGACTATTTACGTAAATACGTTACAATCAGTTTAGATTTGCTACTTTTTACTACTAATTATCCATTGAACAATCGACAAACTATGTATAACTAACACATTGAATTGACGAACATGTCCCTATTCAAAGTATATCTAAATACCAGTACGTTAACATATATACTCCAATCTAACAATGTGTTTTAGACTTTTTTACAAAACATTAAAGTTGATAATGCTTAATGTATCACCTGGCATGCATACACGTTATTTTAATTTACATATCACCACATACATACAATATAACAAATCAAGATAGCAATCTAGTAATACAGGAACACAGAGACATTACCGAAATCACGATCCCTTTGTATGAATACAAAGGTCTTATATGGAGAGCGTTTATCGTGAAAAAAATGCTAAAGAATGTCATTGTATTTAATGTAGAGGCCTAGAGGGCTCCACTGAGTCCTTTGGAGTACAATGGCTCCCGTTCCCTCAGTACATAGTCCACTTTTCATTTGGTATTCGTTATAACAAAAGTGCTTGTATTGTAATAAATATAATACTAAGTATTATATAATAAGAAAAATCAGTGAGTCTGTATGTTGAATGAAAATCAGTAAAATAAAAGAATGAGAAAAAAGTATCACACTGTTTTTTTTATAATAATATGTTGCAAACAGTTAAAAAGATTTTGATATCACGTCTGAAGGAAAAGAAGAGAAGAAAAAAGACAACACAAAAAATAGAGGCAAAAAATGTACCTAATTAATTAAAAAAACGATACCATTAGAAAATAAACTGTTGTAATACCTTTGTGTAATTTACTTTAAAGTTAGTTAAAAGCAAACAATAGACGAAATAAACACTAAATCCTGCTAGACAAAGCCGTCAGTACAGCTATAAGTCTACACACAATAATTAAACAGTTTCACCACATATGCCAGCGGCACATAATTATGAATCCCTGTAAATGAGAGGTTCTTGGGGTTATACACTTACTTGTTTTTGATATTTAAATAACTCTTTGAGGTTATCGTCCCTTGCTAATTGCATGCGCTTTTGTGTTTTACCATTTCATAAAAATCTCGTTAGTAATTTGGCAGTAACATGAATAATTGCAGAAAGTGGTCGTAGTGCCGGAACGAGAACAGCATACCATACGATTTTGTCATTTAAAAATTTGCTTTAAAAGCATGGGAAGCGGAATTTATTGTGTTACCTGCTCAAAGGTAAATAAACAGGCTGATTCCCATGAATGTCAATAAAATTAAAATCGTTTGTGTAATTCGATCGATTGGACAGGTAAAAAGAAACTAAATTAGATTAGTCCACACAGAACGTTCTCGGAAATCGATAGTCTGTCAAAAACGTACCTGAACTTGGTGATTAGTAATTTCCCGAAATTAATTTGATCTTAGCAGTTCAAAGAGCTCGTTTGAAACCGTTAAGCTAGGTTTTCGATCACTTTTTCCTGTTTATTGACCCGAATGCCCTGCGTGACTCTTACACTCTTACCCTCTTACCTGCTTTTTAGAATATAACTCAATGGTATATGAGCTGACTCCACATTCTTCAATTAAACCGGTTAGAGGTCGTACTCTAAGAATATAATTTGTTATACCAACCTTTTATGAATGTACAGATGAGGTATACAATGGTATGGGAACGCCAATGATACGGATTAACAATATTCAATTTGACATTTCTGGATCTTGCCCAAGATTTTAGCTTTTATCCTGAATTAAATTAAAGTGATTGAACAAAGAAATGCTGTCTTCTAATAGATGACAACTAAAATTACCATAATATATATTCCTATCAAGCATAAAATAATGTTGATAGTTATTGGCGTTAATCAAAATTTTAAATCACTTGACTGATTCTGATTGGAAAACTAAAATTACCGAGTAATGTCGGCTGCTATTCTTAAAATTAATCTTTAGTAAAAGTTAAAAATTTATTCAGCAACCCATGTCAATTTTATCTATAACAATTTGTTCAGAGAATTTCTATTCAACTCCAGATAATATCTGTAGATATACTTTATGGATTCCTAACGGTCTTCAATAGAATATTTGCAACAAATCCGAAGAATTTGAATGAAACATTGTTAAGCCGCGGTCAATTTCGCTCCGAAATATTTTATATTAGAACAAAAAAGTTTTCTCGCTCTTGTCTGTAAGACCTATCGCTTTAAAATTTGATGTCTCTCGGGCCGATGTTATTTGACTTTTAAATTGGAATGCTATCTCCTTTCAAATCGGCTTTCGTCTTATATCTGCGATCTAACATTCTCCAGCCTTCGATCGCTGGCTTTACTATACATTTAAGGTTTCGCCATTTTCAGAGTTCTAGAGTTAATTCCTTTGAATAATTTGACGAGGATTACCTTTCCAAGATGAACGTGTTACCGATTTGTGTTAGAATACCTACTTACTAATAATCTAAAAAAATATTTTCCACAAAAATCTCTTACCCATGATTGTATAGCACGCTCAATAGTTTGTTAAGCTTGCTTAAAGATTATAATAAAAAAATATTTATTTATTTTGTCTTTAGCTGGATTTGAAGAAGCAATTTGACGAAGGGGACACAACGAATTACCAGACGAACGGTGAGTTCGACCTGGTGAGCTTTGAGGCCATTCGCCATGACCAATACTACTCCTGCTGTGTGGAACCCTACCCTGACATCACATACATCATCAAATTGAGGAGAAGACCCATGTTCTATGTCTTCAATCTTATTCTTCCCTGTCTCCTCATCAATGGTATTGGTAAGTATAGCAGAAAATCTAGAAGCTGTTTTAACTAAGATTCATGTTTTATTATGTCTGTTTTTATAAGGAAGGTCTGCTCAATACTGCTGAGAATCAATTTAACGAAATCAAACTTTAGAATGTATTGTAGCTTTGGGTGGTAACTTTGTTTGAGTATGCATAAAAGTCTTGTTTTCCCTTCTATACCATATATTATAAAATAAACTAAAATCGTGCTGCTACTAAACTAGTCGAGGTCTTCGTCGAATAGTTACAATGACGTGAGTAAGCCCTAAACATAATTAAAATGTTTGACAGAAGATATAATATAAACATAGAATAAATCCAATGAATAGTATACAAGTAAGGTTAGATTTCCCTAATTTCTAGCTACATTTGTACTGCTAATTCTGAGGTTGAACTTTGAATAGTATCCTGAATAACAAACACATTACGGATACTGTACCACGGTAAACAATTAGGGAATGTCGGTTCTAATTAGAAAACATTAGCTCGTGTTAATTAGCCGGGTAAATAAATACGTAGCAGAAATGTGTCGAACATTATTTCTGGTACTATTTCTGCCATTTGGCTTTATGATAATAAATTTTATTACGTGTGTAATAAGAGCTATTTTATTAGTTAGTTGCCCACAATATTTCGACTGTAATTCTAGATCCGATCTCGAGAATAATGTAGAGGGTTTATCCTAAATATAGCACAAATTGCTCATACGATTATGTCTTTTGAAAGTTTAACGAGGCCTGATTACTTGGGAAATACAAAAATACCGGCTAGCCTTTGTAGGTTCAGCTCGTGGTTTGAGGTCACTTACATCGTTTCACACAAGACGAAACGCTTTACGGTTTATGTGAATCGCCTTTATATCATATTCTATTAGGCTACCACTGATGAGAATATCGAGGAAATCTTAACAAATTCTTTTACCTTTGTTATGTATGTACGAACATTAATTCTGGATACGCGTCGAGATTCGTGATACACGAATGTATTTGTGAATAATCAGAAAGACGTTCGAGTGGAATAACACAATAAACAAACACAAAGACTTACTTATCCTTATCCATTTACTCACGTCGGATTTCACGGCTTTTGTTATGATAATTAGATAAATCGCTTTATTTCCACATTCGTACATGAATAGTTAAATGTCATTGTCAGTTCGTAGTTTATTGTGCAACAGATATAGCTAGAAGTACTCAAGTTGGGATTTCATATTAAAAAGTCATACGGTGACTTTCTGTTAAGGAAATGCTGCACAAGTTTCAAAGTTTTTACCTACTTGCTTTGAAGAGCATGTACAACTTTCTTTCACCAAAAGATTTATTATAATAGGTATCAGTACCTATAATGCGCAGTAAAAGTAGTTCAAAATACACTTAAATTACAAAACTCACTTTTTAAAACGTCTAATTACAATTATGAGAGTTTACTTTACTTTAAATGACGCTTTAAAAATCTAAGAAACAAAGTATGAAATAGGAACTTAGCTATCGAACTTTCTAAAATACATTATACAATTGGGATGATGACAGGGTATGAAAACAAAAACTAATTAATCCGTAAGTTAGATAATGAAAAAATATTAGACACATATTTTTTTCATTTTGTCGTTTAATAAAACAATACTTAGATAAAACGAATCAAAGTTTAGGAGTGAGGGCTAAAACGTCATTTCTACGTATAAAATGTACATAGAAGTGACGTCACGCGACATTTCAATTCAATATATCGTCGAAAGTATTCGTTTCTGTAAGAAAATTAAAATACGTGTCTAATGATTTAAAATAATCTACCAGACGGATATTAGAATATAAATTAGGCATCTACCCTATTCAAATAAACCGAAATCAGTAGGTACGTCAATGCTAATTGACAATGTAAGCTATACAATACTATACATATACTTTGTTCCAAAAAATTAAGCAAGTTTTTTTTTATTTTTTTTCCAGCACTTCTTGTGTTTTACGTGCCGTCGGAGTCAGGTGAAAAAGTGACCCTGGGCATAAGTGCACTTCTATCTATGACCGTCTTCTTGATGACTATAAGGGACACGTTGCCACCTACAGAGAAAACCCCACTTATTAGTAAGTATTTTAACATAGTATTTGGTTAGATACTTAATTTTGATTGTCTAAAGAATCTAAATGTCGAAAACTAAGCTGTTTTGGGTAAAATTTATGTATATATAGTTTATCAGCTACAACAATGAGTCTGGGATTGTTTCTATATATGACAATATACGGAAGTCTCCTTACTGGAAACTTTATCCCTTCAAGGATTAAAAGTATAGTTATGTTCTATTGTACCCACATATTAATTAAAATACATATTCATATTTGTATTGAACGGTTAGTTGGACAAGGTAACACGTAATACACAACACACGGCACATTATAAACCCTTGTCAAAATGACAGAATATTTGTTTGATGTGTTTTACTCTGTGTATTTTGAATTATATACGTAGACTATGTAGTGTTGATTATGAGTACCTACTTTGCAACATATTAGGTACTATGACGGAGGCAGCTACTTACTGCATTTCTTTTTAAACATGTCCTTAATCACCCAAGGAGTTTGCAGATCTACAATGCTAACTATGTCATTGAATACATAACAATACATCACGTCTTTTTATCCCCGATAGGGTAGGCAGAGGTGCACATTACGGCACTTAATGGCACCGTACAATGTAACATCCACTTTTCACTATTTATGTTATGAGTCCCATGTAATAGGTGGTGAGCCTATTGCCATATACCGGGCACAATTCCAGACTCCGTGCTACTACTGAGTTTTTTTTTTAAACCTAGAGTAATACTTTGCCCGCTATCGCTAGATCTCTTGCCTGGCAGTCACACTTGTGACTCAGCTCTCAGCCAACGAAGCATTCATTGAATACAATGAAGCAAAAATTATATAATATAACACCATTTAATTTTGTTTCAGGTTTGTATTATGGAGTTAGTACGTGTTTAGTGTCATTCTCGGCTTCTCTATCAGTCGTCACGCTCAATATATCTTACAGGCGAGTTTTAATTCTACAAATATTATTTATAATAGTATTTAGAATAAAAAAATAGCACGAACAGCAGTTTTACAGGTGGTTTCTAACTTAAACTATCCCATGGGTGTAACATCATAACAGCTCTTAAGAAAATAGTTCACAACATAAGGGTGTTCATAAGCAATCCACTTGCCTACTAGTTATTTAAATAATATTATGTTTGCGAATATAATTATAAAGTTGCCAACATAAACTAAAACTACAGTTCATTAATTAACCAAATTAAGTAAGCTCCTACTTAAATATACGCAATTAATTTATTCATAGAATTAATGACACAAAGCAAAGCATGTTCAATTTAAACGTACACAATATCAATAATTTTATTACCTACCTATCAAAAAAGTTTGCATGAGCTGAAAATGTAACAATTTGATTTAATTAACGCCATTTGATTATAAAATATTCTAATATATTTTATCTATAATTATGTAAATATCGATGATTGGTAAAAACAAAGAAATGTAGATATAAAAATATATTGATTATTCAGTAAATGAAGGATGGACGTAAAGTAACTGGGGGTTGAATTCATTTATCATATTGATGAGGAAAAACAGACTTATTTTTATTACAAGAGATTTAACTTGCTAAATAGAATGCATCTTTAAATGATCTTTTTCTCTGTTTCCCCTCATACCTAATGAAAAATATCGGAATTATTTTTAGGTAAAAAATCACCTGATAAAATTAGTTTCCTGATAGATACTAAGTAATAATAGAAATATTTTTAATAAACATAATTATAGGCTAAGGCCACACCACAATTTTTTTAAAGTAATTCATAGAGAACTAGATGGGTAAACTAAGGCCCCGGCTGCTTTATTTAAACCGCGACCACACTAGCGTAAGCGTGAAAGATTACGAAAGTGTTGCAAAAAAATCTTTGGACAAACTGTAGTGTGGGCTAACCCTTATAGCGAATAATGAAAACATTTAGGTATAAGTTTAATATTGACAGTCCTAGTATTGATGTGTACTATATTTAAAATACATGTTTTATGTGAACGTATGGTGTTGCTCGTAGCTCGTGTTGCTCTAACCTAACCTAACCTAACCCTTATAGCGAATAATGAAAACATCTAGTTTAATATTGATAGGGTATTATTGTGTACTGTATTTACAATATATGTGTTGTGTGAACGTATGGTGTTGCTCGTAGAGGAGTGAGAGGGCAGCCGGTGCCGGCGGTGCTGCGCGAGCTGGTGCTGCAGCGGCTCGCGCGGCTGCTCTTCATCAACCTTGACACTGACGGTGCAAAGGTAACTAATACTTACATGTGTATATTTTAATTTGTAACTAGTTTTCATAAGGTGCGAACTAACACAGAACGAAAGGTAATAAAATTAAGTACCAATGAATGCATGAATATCCCAGCACCAGAAAATCGCTTAATCATGATCCATGTAGTTCAGTATTAATAAAAGCTACAGTTACCCGACTAGGAATACCTATCCTAAAATTTTATTTCATAGAGTTTGCAAAACATACTTTACCCCTTTTATATTACAGTTGAATTTGTATACCATACCGAACTGCGTTCCATAATGGCTGTCAATTTCAGTCACTACTTAAATGGTTTACATATAAACACTGAACGGTTCCAGACCGCAGCCATCATGCGGTGATTGGCAACTAATTTGATGGACGCGTCTTGTTTACGAACTGAACACATACTGGTGTACCTAATTTGAGTCTGTACACGTGCACTACTTTCATAAAGCCTAATTTTATTTAAGTAATGTAGATGTTTTTTATGACTAAACTAAGGTTTCGACTGCCTATAGAAAACTGTTGCAGGCAAATGGTCCACTAACGTCGGTCACGAGTGACTCCCAAGGCGTTTAATGTGTTAATGTAAAAGTTTTTATAATAACTATTGTGAGACATACTAAATTAACTAAAATACGCTGGTTACTCACGTGAATATACTGAGAAAAGCTCTACTAGTTTCGAACCACAGTGGGATTTCTTCCCATGAGCAGCGTGCGCGGTCGCGGCGATGTCGCGCAGCCTACTAGTAGTACAACTTTTCTTAGAATATTCACGTAAGTAACACGCGATTTTTAGTTAATTAAAAAGTTGGTATAAATTTTGGAAAGATGTTTTGGAAATAAAAGGTGTGATGCCGTAATATAACCAAACAAATAACCATGCAGTATGGCACAGGCTATGCAGACATAAACAAAAACTTATATGAACTTTGAAAAATCAATCTTTAATACAATTTTAATGTCACTGAACATAGTTTACAGAACAAGCACAGAGATATAGGTACATTTGATTAATTTCTATCCCAGTGACGTGCACGAGGCTGCAAGTCGATATCGACGCGTTAATGCCGAGTGTGGCTGAACTCAATGTGTGGATCATAGCGTTATGTTGAATGATGGCTGTGTACGGTCGTGACAGATTTATTGTTATAGAGATATTTTATACTATACATTTAATATTTATTATTATTCTCATCATTTTTCATTTCAATACTTGCCTATTACTTTCACTTTTTTAAATATAGACTATTATAATTAACGACCCTTATCTATAACTAGCTACTTCTGAACGCGCTCTACTCAGTTCCTATCGATCGTAACGTGATGTTTTATAGCCTTTAGCCTTCCTCGAAAAATTGATAATCCAACACAAAAAACTCATATCCAGTCATTCCTGAGATCTTCTCTGTCGATTCGCTCTGGGCAGAGCGGTCGTGGTCACGTTCAGACGGCCGTATCTCCCGCCATCTCTCCCTGTTTGTGGATTGTCCGGCGCAGTCTGACACTGGGTTTCCCATTGCCTATTTGACTTGATCAGTCCAGCGCATAGGTGGTTTGCCTCATGATTTGGTTCCCTCTACTTTCTCCTGAACGACCAGCCGCTCTATGGAGTTGTTATCACGACAGCAGACATGGCCAAAGTGCTGCAGTATGCGCGTCTGTACTATGGTTGATAGACGCTTTGTGATATTTGTAATTACTGAGATAAGCGCGTTCAAACAAACTCAGCTTTATATATAATATATGTAAGATTTTCTGTTTAACTTGTTGAACGACAACAGTGTGACAATCTTCCACTACTGAGTAATGATACCTTCTGACACGAAGATAGTTAAATAACATACACATGATGGAAATATTGTGAAAACTGCTACGAGAACCACATGCTTTTAGTTTGGGATAAGCTTTTTTAAACGTCAATAGTACCACGAACAATTCGTGTCGATGTGTGTTTCATTCTTGATAACTAACATTTTCCTCACACACACTTTAGTAACTAGTTCCCTCTTTATGTACTCATAGACGTCCCATAGGAAAAGAAACTCTCGTCTTTCATTCACTTATAAAACTGGAACCGTATATTTTTCCATTCAGCCACTGATGTATGAGACAAACAAGCCGAAAATAGTTCCCCAGTCACTCCCACGTTGATTTATTGTTTGTAAATATCAAATGCCTCTAAATCTCCCAGGAGTAGCCAGGTTTACTTTAACAGTTAAACCGATGGTATTAAATTCCGATGTGACAAAACGTTCTGTTCCATTTCAAGTGAAAAAAGGTATCCCTGGTGTCACTGTTAAAGATACAGCAAATAAACACTTACGACGTCATGAAATATTCTAGAACTAGTGTATTTCACAATTTGTTTGAATGAACTCAGGTATGTAGGTATTTTGTTAATTGGTTTGGTTGTTATGTTCCTAAATATTAAACAAATCCTATCAAATATAACAAAGTTTCTCTACAGTTTGTCATATTTGATACGATTAACTTAATTATTTCTCGATTGTGTCAACTTGTACAATAACATCATTTATTTTAGTTGTGTTCTTCAGTTGAAGAAGACGAATGTATGATGTTATTTCTTTTCTGCTCTTCAGAATAAGACGTTTAATACTTTACGCCTTTTTCAGGAAGTCAGTAACATCATTCATCTCTATTACATGTATTTTGATTCTCTTAGAACACACAAATCCACATGGTTAAGCTAGTGACGTAATAAATTGATTTCCCAACAACGTGGTTAGTTATTTTGAACTCATAATTAAAGTTTTGTCGGGTCAATATCCGAAGCTGGAAATTCATTGAATATTATGTATAGGTACTGAATTAATTAATATTATCACTCAGTGCCAGGATTATGTCAGTAGTGATTATATTATGCATAGTTTCGAACTAATGTTTGTTGATGTAATTGCTTTTATTGAAATTTTAGGTGAACTACATTTCATAATTGCAACGGCATTGAAGGGAAATTATATAAACTATGAATTTAGTGTGAGTTTGAGTACAATGTATTTTTTTATGTGAGCATACGTAAGTATGTCATTAATTTCGTATTTATAAGAACGATTGCTAAGCTAAATTTCTGGATCGACAAAAATTGATCTGTTTTTGAAAAACTGTTAGATAATAAAAAAGCAAAATCGAATTTAACAGGTTTTACCCGATGAACAAAAATCGTGATATTAAAGCATAAAGCCAACTTTGAATTTATGATGGAAAGTGCCAATTGTTTTCACAGACAATACCTACTGCGCCATACATTGATTGAATAGGCATCGGCCGTTTATTTTTCTTCGTTCGAAACCTGTTTTTAATTGAAACGATTTTCTGCTTGAATAGTCAAGCTTTTTTTTTGAGGGGGGAAAATCATCCAATGACTTCTCCCGCCCGGGTGAGGCGGGAGGGAGTGTCAGACTCTTACTGACTAAAAACCACCCCGTTCCTACTCCTGAACTTCGAGCCGCAACCCGTTAAGTCTTCCGCGGCTCCGTATCGGCATCAGCCCTGTTAGGCCCCATCTGTTGTGGTCTGATGGCCCCTTGAGCGCGCGCGGAACGCGACGCGCCGTACGCTCGGGCCTGGTTCTGGTCGGGCGGCGAGTCACCCGTGCTCGCCACCCGTGGAAAAAGAACAGGATAGATATTCCGGCCACCGTAAGCACAGGCCCGTGCTTACGGTGGCCGGAATATCTATCTGTTATTTTTCCACTAAATACAATAAAAATAAAAAAGGACAATGGTCAGTTATTATTGATTTTAATACATTTTTTATCTTTTTATCTTACTTACTCAATAGACGTATTTTTTGACTAGATTTGGTTTAAAAAAACTTCATGTCTACAAAGATCATTCAAATTACGCATTACAAGATAAAATTAAAAAAATGAATTTTTAATCAGCTGAATGAATTACTTTTTTTAAGGTCAACATCTCAATAATGAATTGTTCAATCGACAAATAGTTTTCAAGCTAGGTATAGACTTGAGACCGTAAGAAAAAGCTAGACAATAAATAATCCTAAGATCTAGAATACCTAGGCGTGTGTTAGACATTTATGTAAGTAACAACTGTATAAAATACTTGTCACAAAATTTATGGCGTGTTCTACTAGAAGGTAGTGAACTTTCTACCTGGTTGTGCACAGTCAATAACATAAATAAGCGGCTACTTTTCTCAGCTATCTGATTGAACTTGTTATATAGTTTTGTTTAGTACTATAACCTAATGGCCGACTGGCCGCAAGTGCGACTGCCGGGCAAGCGGTCTCGGGTTCGAATCCCGGGTCGGGCTAAGTATTACTGTGTTTAAAAAAGAATCTCAGTAGTAGCACGGAGTCCGGTAGGTATATGGCAATAGGCTCACCTCCTATTACATGGGACTCATAACATAAATAGGTAAAAGTTGGTGTTACATTCTACATTGGCATTAAGTGCAGTAATGTGCACCTCTGCCTACCCCTTCAGGGATAAAGGGCGTGAAGTTATATGATGTGTAGTACTATAACTATGTAATATACTATTCAAATATACAGTTTATAGTTGCAATAGATACACAGGTCTTATAATACACAGGAACATTTTATGACACGTTTACATTTATAAATTGTTGATAGTATCTGCTACGGAACGTAATTCAAAGTCAAAATCATTTATTTCAATTAGGCCAGAATGGCACTTTTGAACGTCAACAAAAACAAAAATTTAAAGTGAAGCTATTTGCTCATTCCAAGGCGTAGATTCCTATGGAGAAGAACGAGCAAGAAACTCCATAGGTTACTCTTTTTCAATCAGGTTCACAATACAATTTACTAGTTACATAGTTTTGCTGTTTGGATTGTGCGAGAACAATGTAACACTAAAATCCAGTCAAAGTGATCAAAAAAGAAAATAACCTTAAGGACAGTAATACAGTCTGGAGCTGACCAGTCCCAGTTGACGGCGCCCGTTCACGAACATGACACGTACATCAGCACCGCCCAACTCAACCATATTGTAGGGAATCGAGCGATCCACTGCACGCGCCACCGCCAATGAGACCTTTGAGTGAGCATGACAACTCCAAGCTGACACAAATGAAATCTACTAATCTAATTCGTCGGGGATAGTGCAAATCCGCGAAACTACCATACGTAAAGGCTGCGTTTAGTTATACAAGGGATGAATAAAACCTAGTAACTTTGGTACTTCAATGAATTTGAAGCTCACCATTTACATATAAAAAATGAGTCGAAATGAACTCGTGTCAAGGCGGTGGCAGTCAATTAAGTTTTTGCGGGTTTTTCCTGGGAAAACTTCAATTAGCTAACATTTGTTAGATACGCGAAATTATCCAATGCTAGTTCCACGGATTTGGACTATCCCAACGTATTGTATTAATGATTAATACCAATCATCAAATCAGACTGACAGACTATTATTATTTATTTTGTATTTGTTTTGCACTACTACTTTGTACTACTATTACTACTATTACTCTGTACTACTATTATTTATTTTGTATTTGTTGACGTTTCAAAAGTACCAAATTATGGTTTAATTGAAATAAATGCTTTGACTTTAACTTTGACAATTGAACTTTACACATTTCGACATGTATATCATTTATGTTGAATTTTTTGTTGCTTAATTTACTCGAGTATTACAAAGTACTGTGCTAAAATAAAAAGTATATATCTATGGCCATATTTGTAACATTCAACTTCCTTATACCTGACTACATTTAAATATTTCGTACATTAATCCCTTGCGGCGCGCCTAAGGCGTCGATTTCCTTAGAAGCTACTGACTGTACCCACCATGTATCACCTTTGTAAATGCTGTCATGGGACTGAGATGTCGAGTAAAAATATTTTACCTCAACAATTGTCCTTTGAGGAATAGTTTTCGCTCTGCGTATTTTTGGTTTTGTTATCTCCTCTTGAATGTTATTTACTACCCTTATTTTTTACGGTAAACATAATATGGTTTTGTATATGCAGTAAAGGTTAGTTACCTTCTTTTTCTATGGTAGGACAATGAACTTTATGTAAAAGAATTTATGAAAGACTTTTATCTAATAGTAAGTCATGTGATATCAAGTCAGACTGTATTATTTATTGTCCTTAAGGTTATTTTATTTTTCGATCTCTTTGACTGGATTTTGGTGTTACATTGTTCTCGCACAATCGAACCATCAAAACTATGTAGGTATCTAGAAAATTGTATTATAAACCTGATTGAAAAAGAGTAACCTATGGAGATTCTTACTTTTTCTTCTCTATAGGACCCTACACCTTGGAATGAGTGAAAGCTTCACTTTAAATTTTTTTTATTGACGTTCGAAAGCGCCTTTCTAGTTTTCTTCTTTTACTACTACTTTTTAAATTTTGACTTAGACTTCAAGAAAAAATATAATGTAATACAGTTAGTTTATATGCTTGAACGTTCTCCTCTTCGTTGCTATTACTATGACTAGCTATGTTTTATACCCGACAGTTGAAGAGCAAGAACAGATAATAAGTTAGTTTCGAGTGCATGTAAAACTATTGAACGGATTTGGATAGAGCAAGAACTGGTTTAACTGCAAGGAACTATTTCATTCCAATTACTGAAGCGGAGACAGTACTTAATTGTTTAATTCCAATGAACGTCTAATGTAAACTGTAGTCATGGATTTAATTTAATCACGAAATATCATCAGCTTTTTACAAACAAAATGGAGTTATAGAATGGGGAGTGAATAGGTTCTCAAGTCAAGTCAAGTCATAGCATTTATTTCAATTAAACCATAGTTTGGTACTTTTGAAACGTCAACAAATACAAAATAAATAATAGTCTGTCAGTCAGTCCGTCATTGACACTAGGTGAAGCTAGGTGCTCATTCCAAAATGTAGATTCGAATGGAGCAGAACGAGCAAGAAACTCCATAAGTTGTTTAAGGGTCGGCAAACGCCGCGCATGTAATGCTCCATGTGAAGCGTACATAGGCCACGGTAACCGCTAACGATCAGGTGGGCCGTGTGCATTTTTTCGCCACTGTCGTGATATAAAAAAAAGTTATTTGATCAGTCTCATACACAGCAATTTTGTTACCAATCAGTTGATACGTGGGCTCACTTATACCGAATCCATTACACAATTATTGCTGTTCCTAAAAATGCCGTATTAACCCTCACCCCAGGAGGTACCTACCTAATGTAACATTTTCTGCTTATTTGTACAATTATATTTATTTCATCATTCACTCCCCACTCGAATTACTTTGTACTTTGAACAGCTTTGTAATGTAGGCTATTTTTATAAATCAGTTGGTACAATTTTTTCGTGTTGTTATTTAAATTGAGTTTATTATATTCCTCGTAATCGGTCTAGTTGGTATTTTAACCCTTAATTATAATAAATTCAAGAATAATAATTGAGGATTTTTAGTCTTTCGAAAATTTCTCAGTAGTGTTATTAGTTTTTCGGTAGTGTATGCGTGTGCCTATGACAATAGTTTAATTTCCTATTACTTGAAATTCACAATATAACCGGTGAAAATGGCTCTGTCTACTCCTTCAAATATTAAAAGGAGGGACGTTATTTTATTTACTTAATTCTTTAATACATATTCTGGCAGTAATTGGGTAACTTTAAATTAAAAAGTAATTCGAACGCTATACAAGAAACCATCAGAAAACGTGTCCTTTAAAAATATTTTTCCATTTTCCAGAAAGTTCTCGAATTACGTATCTGTATCGAAGTATGGTAATAACGTCGAAAGTTTGTATTTATAAAAACCGATAGCCCTAGGGAGTTTGATTTACTAATTTGAAGTCGCAAAGTCGTGACCATTAAAAGTTTTTCACAGGCTCAGTGTCAAAGCTGATTTTCTTGTTAGGATTACATTACGATAAGTTAAATAAAATATAAACCGGCTTATGTCGTTGGTACCAAGGATTGTATATTAAAAAGTTATGATTTTAGCATTTAATACGTCGTTTGGTTGTGTTTGTTTTTCTCGTATTAATCGGAAAATATATTTTGGAAGGTAACGATAAAATTAATTTTAGGTAACTTACGATTAGCTGTACCTACGTATACAGGGTGGAATTTTGTAATGCTATCTGAAGGGGAAGTAGTCTTTACAGTAAATTGCAGTTTTAAAGTGCAATTTATTACAGGGTGCCACTTTTACAGATTTTAGTCGGTTCGATGACCGTGTGCGGCAAAAAAATTTAAAAAAATCTTCGAATGCCGTTTTATTTCTTTTCGAAAATAAAGGAATGTTTTCTTTGAGTAAAATTTTCTATCCAAAATATTAAGAGTACTTTCCCTTCAGGTGGCATTATAAAATTCCACCCTGTTTAAATGTATGGAGTAGATATATTATAAAAATCCGATCAAAACCAACACTGAAGTTTCAATATTCAACACAACAACACAAATATTCTATTTATGTTTATTTAAATTCAGAATTGAACTTCTGGGTCGTCGAATCAAACGGATATTGCGTTTATACATACACACACATACACACAAAGCAATGCCAACTTTTTTGCATGCCGATATGACATTTGGCAATTTTATTGCTGTGGTCAAAACCAAATTCGTGAGTGGAACAAATCGGATGGTTCGAAAAGTCGTGAGGTTTTATTGCAAACGACTTTGGGTATAAATCAAACCCTACATGTCTCTATAAAGTCTTGAGTGGAAATTTTTGACGAAAGGATTCTGTTTTTTATTTCTTCGAAGTCTTTTGCGGGTTGCCATAAAATACAGGCTGTGAGGGTCTGAGAAAATGTAAAAAGGCACGTTGTTGTTCATTGTAAAGGCAATAAGAATATTTATATAACAATATTGATGATGATGAATGGGTAAGAATATTTAGATTAGTTTGAGTTCTAACTGTAATGTTCTGTAGGACAAAATTACTTTTATGTTGCGACTTAAAAAATAGGTACTTTCAATTTGCAAGAACTTATTACATTGTTACTGCTTGAATATAACGAAGTGTCATTCTTGTTACCGAACTAGGATTGAAAGAAAGCCAGCGTAGATAAAATTCATAATAAATAATATAATATCACATGAAGTTTGAACTAATGGTAGGCAGTATAGGGTAACCTCATCAGCGTTCAGCTTACCACAATAATAATAAGATTTACATTTGTCATCAGTAAAATATTAATGCGTGCTGTTGACCAGGGTGACGCCGGCACGGTGACATCAGCTGGGATGCAGGTGAACCCGCGCACAGGCTCCAGGCTCAAGGCAGAGGTGCGCTGCGATGGAGCCCCACTCACACCTGCCTCACCACGCTTCGCCCGCCACAACCACAACCATTTAGGTAAGCCTTTATAATTGACAGATTAATGACTGCACTATTGACACGGTGAATGGGCAACCGGCTTGTTCGAATCGTGTAGCGGGTTCGATTCCCGCACGGAGCAACTATTTGTGTGATCCACAATTCGTTGATGAGTATGTGAACTTGTATGTTTGTAAACGCATCCACGACACAGACAGAAGAAAATCCTAGAGTAGGGCGACGTTTAAAAAAATATAGAACATAACAATTAAGTATAAAGAAGGGAGGGAAGAACGTTAAGATCATAACTCATACCATACCTATTATTGATAAAGTGGAAATTGTCAAATTATCGTAAAAACTATTTCATTTTGAGGGTCCACGATGAATCTCCTCCTATTACTGAGACTTCCTCAGAAACAATTTTCGTTTGAGCCCCTTCGACGTCCTAACAAATTTTACTGACGTCTGATAGAAGAATTAAGTCGTTTAAATATAATTATTCTATACCTTTTTTCGCGTGTAGGTATTATACTCCAATTGGTTCAAGAGAAAGTACGGTTCATTGCGAAACGTCAACTTAGAAGAATTCTTATCCACAATTCTTTTTAAAGAAAGAAATGGCAAAATCTGTGATACATGCCTTTATTGAAGTGACTATTAGGCCTGGTTTTCTAAGAAATATATGACAAAGTACTCCAAAATACGCCCAAGTCATATCCACAGGAACTTGAGATGATACATGTGAGTCCTTCAAGCATCTACTTGATTTTAATGGGCAGGTTCTGACTCCTAACTTCGTATTTATTTTTAGTTATGTTTTTATACTTGGATTTGAGGAGTGAACTACAATGTATCTTATTATCGTGACCCTTTTACTTAATAAGGGTCTTAGAAAGACTTTTTTTAAGTTGCTCCACACTAGGATTGTCTCCTGTGTTGTGGGTGCGTTTACAAACATACAAATTCACATACCTACACATGACACCCAGACCCGAAACACAAATTTGTGGACCACACAAAGAGTTGTTTCGTACGGCAATCAAACTCGCGATACGTTGCGCGGCAGCCGGTTACCCAGCCACCGCACCAACCGTCCAGTCTACATTTTTCGACATAATTGGAGTAATAAAGGACAAGCATTATGTATGAGACTAAGGAGAGATTGCCATGTAAAAAAACATAACCGTACGGATCAGAACAGTATCATAGATCTAAATAATCATGATTCAACCTTTGCAGAAATATATTCGTAATTTTTCTAAAGACGCTTTTTTGGGTTTTAAACTGACTTCAAAAAAGGAGTTTTCTCTGTTTGACCTATATGTGTGTTTGTGCGCGACTATCTCGCACTTCACTGAGCGATATGATGCTGTTTTTAGAAAAGTGTTTGTTACACTTAAGAGAAGGATTTTTAAAATAAATTAATATACCGACTTTAAATAAGAAGGGGTTGAAGTTGGTTATTTAAACGTAGTTTATAAAAGAATTAACTTCTGCCCGCGACTTCGTACGCGTAATCCTATTTTTTCCCGTCCCTGTTCGTGATTTTCGGTAAAAAGTAAAAAAAAATTGGTTAAAAAGTATCCTATGTCGGTCTCCTGGCTCTAAGCTACCTCCCTACCAATTTTCAGCCAAATCTATTCTGCCTTTCTTGAGTTATAAGTGGTGTAACTAATACGACTTTCTTTTATATATATAGATTACTGTTACGTCTTCTGACTACCGATTATGAAATATGGCTTCACAGTGTCAATTTCCTGGTCCGACAGATTGATCGATGCTCGGATCTTGTACAATTTAAAATTTTGGCGTCATTAGTAATACCTACTTAAATCATATAACGTTAGTCTGTTAGTCCTAATTTAATATTAGTACAAACAGCTGTTTCCTACCAGAATCAGTAAAGTTAATCTTGGTAGCTGAGGAATATTCCTTTCCTTATGTTCATAATAATATGTATGTACTATGTGCTTCGTCGACCTGTTGATATTATTTCCTTCTTGGAAATTTAATATTCACACGCGTTGAGCATTTTCTTCCCACTTCGTTGCGAGTAAGCAGCTTGAATCTTTGGTTGGAATTCCCTAGAATACCCACAACAATTTTTATTTTACAAGCTCTCAAACAATGTCCTGCAATTCATAATTGTACGCAACTAACTTACCTACGTATGTTTAGAAAAAATATAAAAGAACAAAAAAGTAAAAACATAATACCATAACTTCTGTCTTAAATAAACTTACTTTGATATACCAACTACGTAATTTTTGAAGTCAGTTGCTCCTCATGCATGAGAATGCTGGTTCAAAACCTACCAACGGCAAGTACCAATGTGACTTTTTCCAAGTTACATGTACTTTCTAAGATTATTTAGACACCACTGACAAAGGGTGAAGGAAACATCATGAGGAAACCTGGGCTTATAATTTCTAATTATAGGTTTGAAATCGCCAACCCGCATTGAGCAAGCTTGGTGATTATTGCTCAAACCTTCTTCGTGTGAGAAGAGGCTTTGCTCAGTAGTGGGCATTTATAGGCTATTAATGATGATGAATGATGACTGAGACAGTTAATTCAAGTTAAACATTTCTGAAAGTTCAACGAAGAAATATGGAGAAAATGCAAGAAAATAACTAAAATCGTTAATTCCTCTTTCCTATACAAACTGGTCTCAAAATGACAAGGGCCCATTTATATCGTGTTCTCTTTCTAAATCCAAGTTATTGCCGCCTTTAGACACCTACAATGCAAAAAGAAAACAAATGACACGTCAATGACGTCAGACCCAAAATGACAAGGCCAGAAATATAACGAGTTCTCTTTTTAAATCAAAATTATTGCTGCCTTTAGAACAATGCAAAATAAAAACAAATGACACGTCAATTTTTGAAGCGGGCGGGCTACTAATGTTTGATGAAAAGATGTTAAAAGATTTTCAATAAAGTGGGAAAGTCTTTAGAGATGGTTACACTTTACAGACATTGTTAATAGTAATAAGTACATAATGTCGTTGTCCTCATTCGCAAGGGACTCATTAAGATCTTTCACAAACTCGACTAATCGATGCCTAGTTTGGAGTCCTTTGTTTTCCTTTCATCGCGTGCTATAAAAACATTTCTCGCCTAAACATAATCTAAGTAACACAAGGGCCTCTCCATCCACAAAGTTCTACTGCGTACTTATAATTTGAGTCTCATATTTATCCTGTCATATTACGCACACGAATATTCATCAATATTGAACATACTTTCGCTTGTTTATTTGCAAACATTATTATAAATGGGAAAGTTGGTACCAGTCTAAATGTTTCTATTGAAATGTGTTCTGATTTTTTTTAATATGACTGTACGGTTGGCGCGGTGGCTGGGCAACCGGCTGCTGCGCAATGTGTCGCGGGTTCGATTCCCGCACGGATCAACTCTTTGTGTGATCCACAGATTGTTGTTCTGGGTCTGGGTGTCATGTGTATGTGAACTTGTATGTTTGTAAACGCACCCCCGACATAGGAGAAAATCCTAGTGTTACGTTTGTTTTTAAAAAAAGAAAGATTTTTTTAAATAATCATAATATGTGTAGATCGATTTTATTCATGGTGATTACCAAAACTACATGAATCTAATCAAGTTCTCTGTTTCAAAAATACGCCCGCAATTAGATGTTCAACTTTATTTCTTGCACTTACTATTACGGCAATTCGATCCGACATGTGATAGGTCATGTACAAGTCTATTGTTCATTTACTCTTTTTGCAGTACGAGGATTTTAACACCGCGCAATTTTCTTTGTTAGAAAAGTCGATTGGTACATTTTGTCCGACATCGTTAGGCGATCCCCCGATCGCCTAACGATGAACACGTTTCGTACTTTATAGAAAGACCTATCGTCCTAGATTTCTATTCTGTAGTATAGTTATAAATTCGTTTTCTTTTGAAATTAAATTGAACATAACATAACATAACATCACGCATTTTATTCCCGAAGGGGTAGGCAGAGGTGCACATTATGCCACTGTCCAATGTTTTCACTATTTATGTTATGAGTCCAGTGCAATAGGGGGTGAGCCTATTGCCATATATCGAGCACAAATCCAGACTCCGTGCTACTACTAAGAATTTTTAAAAACCCAGTAATACTTTGCCCGACCCGGGAATCGAACCCGAGACCCCTTGCCCGGCAGTCGCACTTGCGACTATTCGGCCAACGTGGCAGTCTAGGTATACCAGGCAGCATTAAATTGAATACTAATCAATATTTAACATAGAATATAAATTAAGAATATCTTCTTCCTGTCCTAGCTCATCCCAAATTACATAGCACTAGCCCGATATGAAACATGTAATAAATCCGAAAAAAGAAGCATATTTAATATAGCTTAAACAAATAGCTTATACTTTTTCACTAGGTGGGACACAAGCAAATATGGCGCCTGTGCCAGGAGGTGGCGCGGGTGGCGGCGCAGCGAACACGCCAGTGGAGACGGGCTGCGTAAACGCATGTCCACGGTGCGCGTGTTGCGGTTGCACGCTGCGCGAAGCTGCGGCCCGTCACGAACAGCGAGTCGCCGCCAACGAACGATTGGAACGTGCTAATTTGGAGTGGAAACAGGTACTTTAAAATTTGTTTAGTAAGATTTTTTAATATATTTTTTTAATTTATTCAGTTATAGATACATGCATGTTACTTAATTCTAAACATTGCCAAACTGTTCAACAGTTTGTTGGCAATATAATATTCTATCTTCTATCTAATAATACTATTCATTTCCTTGAGTTTCGTTCTTCATTTTTCCTGATATCCCGCTACGGAGACAAGCTATAGTGGACTTTAACAGCTTAGCAATAAGGGTTAAATTCCGAAACTCGGTTAGTGGCTAATGTGCAATTACCCACTACAGCCTTACGTAAAAGGTACCTACTTAAAAATATTATGCTGTATTGTGCATCAGGCTTTACCTACTTATGTACTTACTTGAATGGCGTCAGATGGTATACCTTCTAAATGGATTTTGGACTTATATAACCCATATCGTAGACATAACTTTGACCGCTCATTGTGATAAAAATTGCCATATTGTCATCTGAAATGTGACGTTTCAGTTTATCCAAACTATAACGTACCTTTCATTCAAAAGCTTGACCGTTCCGCACTTCATTACGTCCAACTTAATTGATTTCTAGGAAATTTAATTATATACGCATTACCTACTGTATGTCGTTGTTATCGAAAAATAATAATCTTTATAATAATTATTTAATGACTTTTACCTGGTTGTACTTATTTAGTTAATTTTATTTTACATTTAATACACCTTTGAATCGTACATCAGTATTTACAATACTAATGTAACAAATCAACTAAAAAAACGTACAAAAACATAACATAACTTCACGCCTATTATTCCCGAAGGGGTAGGCAGAGGTGCACATTACGGCACTCAATGCCACTGTACAATGTAACACTCACTTTTCACTATTTTATGTTATGAGTTTCATGTAATAGGGGGTGAGCCTATTGCCATATACTTTACCCGACCCGGGAATCGAACCCGAGACCCCTTGCCCGGGTGACTACGCGGCCAACGAGGCAGTAAAAAAACGTATATAAATTATAACAATAAAAATGTTATAAAATATATGACGTTAAGTAAAGCTCTCGTAATAGTAATAAATCGTTAAATTTTCGCTATTCGAACTCCGATCACCAAGTTGGCTATTATAAAAAAAAAGATTAACGATCGTTGATAATTAGTCCGATAGCGATTTCGGTAATTTAAAATGTGGGATTAACGGACAAAGTTTTTCGTCGGCATTCTTTAATTTCGGCGTAGCGTAACCATTGAGGGGGTAACTAAAGGCCGATGGAAACAATGAGACATTCGGCTCTATAGGCACTTTTGAAAGTTTACGCTGATAAAAAAAACTTAAACTTGTACAGAAATTATCCATTCTGAAGTCATATCTATCCAATTTTTATAAAGATGAATTAGTAGTAAGCAGTTTTGATACCATAGGTAGTAGTTTTAAGGCTAGTTATTATGCCTATCCCGTGGAGGACTTTGAGGAGTGGCTTGAGAAACGCTACGGCGTTCTCACCTACCGCCTGACGAAGGTCCTCACCGGACATGGGAGCTTCGAGAGGTACCTGTGTCTGATAGGGCGGGAGGAAACGCCCGGGTGTCATCACTGCAAGGACCGCCCTGAGGACACGGTGGAACACACAGTTGGGCAATGCTCTGCGTGGGCTGAGCGCCGCCATGTCCTTAGGGACGTGATCAGGTCGACCTCTTGCGTCCGGCCCTAGTGCGCCGTAATGTGGAGCGAGGGGGGCTGGGATGCCGTCTCCTCCTTTTGCGTATAAGGCAGCGAAGAGCTGCCTCTTCACAACCCAGTCGTCACGAAGGACACTCCGGGCGCCGGGGATCGCGAGACGATCTCCGGCCACCGTAAGCATGGGCCTGTGGATGGCGAGCATGGGGAGCTCGCCGCCCGACCAGAACCAGACCCAAGCGTACGGCGCGTCGTCCGCGCGCGCCTTAAAGAGCCATCAGACCACCACAGATGGGACCCAATGGGGCTGATGCCGATACGGAGCCGCGGAGAACTTAACGGGTTACCGGGGCTCCAGCTCGAAGTGCAGGAGTAGGAACGGGGTGGTTTTTAGTCAATAAGAGTCTGACACTCTACCGCCTCACCCAGGCGGGAAAAGCCATTCAATGATTTTCGCCTCTTAAAAAAAATCCCGTGGGGGACTAAGTGGGAGGCCTTTCTCCAGAAGCGGATGTCTTCCAGCTGTTGATGATGATGATGATCTACAATAATATCAATAACTAAATGTCACGTACTAAATCCTTTTGCCATTATCTGCACAGATCTGAATCAATAACGAGTAATTTCGATTTAATTTGACGTTTCGTGTTTACTTAGTAAATGTAATATTATTAAACAGTGAAGATGAGAAAATTCATATTTAATCTATAAAAAAAGCCTTTGAAAAGTTTACAATTTGAATTCGACATTATTTCGTACATTTTCAAATTACAAAATTATACTTGCAAAACTCTTATCCATCAATTTGAAGCCGGCAAATGGCACGTTCAGGTATTTTGACAGAAGTTTTCAATATTTTTCGTACATTTTATCATAAACGAATAGAATATGCACCTAAAGGATGAATATGTGTAATAGATTATTTGTGTAGGTACATTACGGTTGTAATACTCATAACATTACTGACGAAAAGTTGATGTTACTGTTCCGACAAAAGCCGTCAAAGATAAAGAATTTTATGGAAAAAATATTAACTAAACTCTGTTTTTATTTAAGACTTCGTGTACATGTTTCAAAGAATATTCAAAGTTTCAGAGGATGAGACAACTGTCCAGTTTAAGGTTTAACTTAGCAATTTTGCTTGGTGCACAGTACAGGAAAAAATACTTATTGAGGAACGTCGGAGACCGCTTACACATTTTATTTTTCTTCCTTATATTGTTAACGCTATGAACATCATTGAACTTTTGATAATATGTTGTATGTCTTCAGTGACCTTTAGCCGAATGTTGTCTGATAAATAAATTCGATCAGCCGTAAAATATTTACTTTCAGCCTTCGACTTCAGTCGTATAGAAGTCAGGAGGTTTCTTTTGAATAAGTTTCGAACCTCGAGGAATATTATGTCCCTGTAATAAAATGTCCCTAAAAAGTGAGATTTTCAATAACGAAAAAACAAATTAAAAATCACCCTTGCCTACTATTGTAGCCTTTTTGAACATAAGCGAATTATCAAATCCTTTTTTAAATGTAAGTATTTATGTAAACCAATCAAAATACATATATTTTTAAGTATTCTGTAAGGCCGCTTTACATTTAATCCTACCCAGCTGTTTAAATGATATTTACTCTAATGTGATATTTGCTTATTTTTATTGGAATACCTTTACAAATATATGACATATTTTAATATAATCGTCGACACGATTCCATTCCAAGTATTTTCACGAGATAACTTCAAGTTATTTGATACATTCATTCCAATGTTTTGTAAGCAAATAAAAAGAGATAAAACATGTATTTATTTAATTCTGTTGATCTTATTTTGAATGGGGATCTAGGAAAAGCACGTTCCACTGTAAATTCTCATTAAAAATGTCGTTTTAGTACGATGGTCAGTCGTTTTTAACAGATATTACGCAGTTGTTTAATGTTATGATTTTTTTTATATAAGCGCTCTTAGAGTATTTATGTAAAAATATTATTTTTTCTTTTGTAGGTATCCCTTTCTGTTGAAAAGGATTACGATTGGAACATACAATTTAGTTTTTGTTTTTAATATTTTATTTAACTTAGTAAACCAAGAGAACTGCGTAAATTACTAAAATAAAGTGCTAAATGACGTAGATATTAGTGTGTAGAACCTACAATTTTATATTATTTTTTCTTCGGATTTGAATAAGCTTTCGTTTAAAATATCTGCTTAATACCTAATACATAAAATTTCCAATCTGCAATAATAAAATACAAATACTTAATCCCTTAATTAAAGTGGCACAAAACTAATTCTAAACACATATTACAGTAACAATTTAGACGCGTAATACCAAGTTTCTTAATAGGCCAATTAAATATTTGCGATTCTGTTAAATCGAGTGAGAGCGGTATAATGTATCGATTAACTAGTCTCGATGTTACAATAAATAAAATGCGATCAAATCGCTCGCTTAGAACAGCTGATGTCAGAATGATCCCTCGCATTTGTTTTTGAGGCACGAAACGAAATGGGTTTTGCTGACTGGTTTAGGATGGTTGAGATTTCAAGAGATAAATAAGTGTTGTACCTATTATTTTAATAGCTGGATACAGAGCCGAATTTAACCTAGTGAGGATCCTAGACAAGCACCTCATAGGTGCCATTTTTTTTGGCGTCGCCGCCACTCTGTGTTTAGATGGGCACGCAAGTCTCGCGGCGCCCCTCTATATATAACCTGGCGCTGTTGCCACCTGCCTAGTTTGCCTCAGGGATAATATGGCCCTGGCCGTGTATCTTTGTATATAATTGTGTAGGGGAAATTTGGTCAGTATATAAAAGTCGCTACACGACACCCAAACCCGAAACGAGTTTGTTATTTAATGTTATCTATAACATCATTAACAGATTTATATATCTGATAATGATGCGTATAATGACACGGTTAGTGTGGTGGGTGGGCAACTGGCTGCCGCGCAACGTGTCGCGGGTTCGATTTCCGCACGGAACAACTCTTTGTGTGATCCGTTTGTAAACGCTCATTTAAAAATATGTATATATATATATACATAGTGTACTATGTATGTATGTCTCTGAATATCGTTACAAACGTACAAAACACTTACGTGTTTACACTTTGCAATTTACATTTTACGATTTCAAAGCTTACCTCTCCGCGTGAGATCTTTTTTCCAATAAACATTTGCTAGACACCTGCCACGTCACGCGTCGCATTGAAAATGCATGTAGTCGAGTGGTACTCCTGGAATGTAGTTCTGTTTCGGTTATGCCATATTATACAGGGCTGGTCTGGACGGTATCTGATACTGAATTACCATTTGATTAAATCTCAACAGCAAAGTGAAAACTTCGCTAGTGTAATATCAGTTTATAACAATTGCTTACAAGAAACTGCGTCTTTTTTAAGGGGGGAAAATCTTCGAAAATCTGCTCCCGCCTTGGTGAGGTGGGAGGGAGTGTCAGACTCTTACTGACTAAAAACCACCCCGTTCCTACTCCTGCAATTCGAGCCGGAGCCCCGGTAACCCATTAGGTTCTCCGTGGCTCAAGAACCTGCGTCTAAGTTCAAACAAAGCTTATTGCTACCTCGGCACCTGTATAGAATGGGTTACAAAGTCATTTCAATCATAGTCAACGCCGAACACTGACGTCCAATTAAGGCCTTGGAATTTAATGATAACCAATTTCCAGGTGGCAGTGGTAGCGGACCGGGCACTCCTAGCTGTCTTCGTGCTCGTCACAGCAATATCCACAGCGGCCATCTTGTTACCACAGTTGAACAACTTGCACGTCGGCAACACGCCTCTTAAACCTCCCATTTAGAGGCACTACAGGACACTAGAATAAATGGAAACAAAGTCTTCTGTCAACGAATGTGTTAAATGAATTGTGCCAAACTTCAATTGAGTCACGCACTGTTGTAGATGATAAAATGTAAGTGATTTATAAAAGGTTTATACCACACTGGTATGAGGCCAAAGGAAATAAGTACACATTGGTAAGAAAATAAGGTTTATTTTTTCATTTGCTCGCTGATGTGGAAGAGTGTCATATAAGAATGTGAGTGGTAAAATAAGCGATGTTGATATCTCTGTGTTATAGGCGATTGATTGTCTTAGAGCTCAGTAAATACTTTACTCGATATCTGTTACTATTTCATTAGAGCTTTAGGAAGGAAATTACATAAGGGATAATATTTCCGTACAGAACCGACCCTCATTGTTCCAATTTTATTGTTGCTAAGAATAAAACTAGTTCATTTTGCATACTTACTTTGAGCATAATTTTCAGTAAGTTCAATGATGAAAACTTCTGTGTTTTTAAAACATAGATTATTTCCAAATAATTCTGTTGTGAAAGCCACTAAGCAACTTCTAATGAAACAGTCAATATGAGAAAATGTTAAGACAACTGTTCGTGTATCCAGTAAATAATTTGGTCCCCACTGCATGGGTACTTATTGCTATACAATAGTAAACTGTATGCTTTAATCTTAATTTACTTACTATGTGAACTGCTGTGAACTAAAGGTTTTGCGATCTACCTATATTTTTAATACTGAATAAACCCATATTTCCATTTATTGCGGGATAAGAGATAGAGGTGAGGCTAAGTAAAAAGCTCAATACAAGACGTACGATGTGAAGCGATGAAAATAAATTACAAATGGTTGTCAATTTTAAACATTTTAAATAATTTTCTTGCTTATATTTTATTACATTTTTTTTTGTATTAATTACTTATATTTGAATTATGTCAATTTATAATTTAAAAAAGTTTTAAAATGTATTTGTATTTACGTGCCAATCATGTGTCAACATAAAATAAAATTAAAATAATATTGTCAATTAAGGTGATAAAGAAATGCAGCATAAATTAAATTACTTATTTATGAATTAAATTAGTAATATTTGTTAAACCGTAGATTAGTATGCATGTAAATTTAATGTTAATAATGTTGAAATAAGCAATGTGGATATATTAAAATATGTTAACAAAACATTTTGTGAAATAATTTTCTGAAATACCAATAAAATAATTCATTATTGTATAAAAAGCTATCGCAAGACATTCTAAATAAATTGGCTTACTCACGTCAACTATTAGAGACGAGCTCGACTAGTTACAAGTCACAATGGGGCTCATAACTTGCGCGGTAACGTTGCTAGCTGTTCTTCAATGTTCGATAGTTGAATTTGAACAGTCCAGATAACACTCAAATTATGTCATGAATTTTGAAGTGTTTTAATTTTTCATTCGCTTTAACTTTGAATGCTAGCAAAAAACTGTAGAAGGATTTTTTTTTTCAACTTGCGGTATTCTTCACGTAGGTACGTAAGTAACCCATACAAAATTTATTCTATTTTGATTTAATCCAATCAATGCCAAACTTTATCATACGATATGGCGGAAACTAATTGTCAATTGATTCCTTAAAATGTAGCTTTTATTTTTTCCCAAATTATTCTGTCGATAGTGTCAAAGTATGTTAAAAAACAAATAAGTAGATATTTAATATCTTCTATATTAATTCTATTAGATTAGTTAGGTCCAAAATAAATGTTAAAAATAAAATAAAAACTAAGTTAAGCTCAAGGTTGTTGGAAATGAGTTATTATCTATTAAATATAAAATTTAATGTAAATAATAAATATAGTTTAATCGTAATAATAAGCAAGTTGTTATACCTAATATAAGAAGCATATTGAAGATATTGTACAAAACTAAGAGTAAAATAAAGTTTGCGAAACTGATATTTTGTGTTTTATTTGATTTACGAAAATTATTTTTCGAGAAAAAATGTTCTTTTATGTTTAAGCCAATTTTCTAATTTTCTTTGTCCTTGTTTCTATAGGTACAGTTCGTCATGACTTTATGAAAACAGGTTTGCTCTTTACAAATATTTTGTGTAATAAACGAAAAAATTCTTATTAAAACCGACTTCAAAATACCACAAACAAAAAGTCAAAACTAATAAAAAGCAATAAATAACTATTATTAGTAGGTACTGATAGGTTACCCACCCATTGATAGGTTAGAAGTCGGCGCCATAAGTTCTATACAAAATTATTCATTAAAACCTTACGCTGAAATATTCAAACACCACTCAATGTTAAGTCGCGCTTTAAGAATAATTCTATCACTACAAATTCTTTGCAAAATGACAGAGATGTCACGATATTTAAGTACAACTTAAAATTGAATGGCCTTTCAGTATTCAGGCGTTAATGAAGTTCAGTGATCTCATTCTGTCAATAACCCAAATAAATCAATAGGTTAATATAAATAACTATACAAACAGTTGTTAACCTGTGTTTTTATAATAACTATCGTGAGACAAACTAAATTAACTAAAAATCGCTGGTCACTCACGTGCAGATAGCGCAGTGGGCTAGATGCGCAAGTAGCAACACCGATGCGAACGCCAACGTTAGCCAGTAGGCTGCGCGACATCGCCGCAACCGCGCCAGCTGCTCATGAGAAAGAACCCCTCTGGTTCGAAATTAGTAGAGCTTTTGTCGGTGACACGTGAGTATCCCGCGATTTTTAGTTAAGTAGTGAACCTACTTACAACATTCTTAGAAGTTACCATGTCAATTTTTTTAAGGGGGGAAAATCATCGAATGGCTGCTTCCGCCTTGGTGAGGCGGGAGGGAGTGTCAGACTCTTACTGTCTAAAAACCACCCCGTTCCTTCTCCTACGCCTCAAGCCGGAGCCCCGGTAACCCGTTAGGTTCTCCGCGACAAGTTTACATGTCATACGAACCCAACCTATTTCACGAGAAGCCTCTATATTTAAGGGCAACAAATGAATATAGAATGGACTTATTCTGTCACTCAAATTGTGTTTCCCTGACACTTTTGCTCCTCATATTATACCTCACACATAAAAAAAACATGATATTTTCATACGAATCTATAAATATCATTTCGCAGACACGTTCACAGGGCACGTCACTTTAATCTATCTGTTTGTAAATATTTAATGGATCCTGAACACAGGTACAGTGAAGAGCAAAAATAATATTATCGAATAAGGATCATCTGAGCTATTTTGAAATCACTTGTAATAATTATGTCAAAATGCATAAAGGTTACTACTAGCTTCTGCCGGCGTCTTCGGTTGCGTTCTCGTGGGATAAAAAGTGGCCTATGTGTTACTTCAGATTATGATAGATTATGATCTATCCTTGCTTCAAATTTCATCGGGTTCCTTTCAGCCGTTTTGATGTAAAAGAGTAACAAATATACACACATACATCCTTACAAACTTTCCCATTTAGAATATTAGTAGGATGGAGCTAAGTAATATTCGAATTAGGTATTGAATTTATAATAGGTACTTAGAGGAACATTTATAAGTCATTGTAGCCACAATGTGGCTCAAAATGTAGTTTGAATTTCATTTGCCGTGTTCTATTATGTTCTGCTATCTTTTAATATTACGAATTTCACGTTTAATGAATGAATGAATTCAGGTTAGGAATATAAGGTGTACACCCAATTTCTTATATAAACAAGTTAATAAATGTTCACATGACTACGATAAATATTAAAAAGAAGATTGAGAAAAATAAAAGTTAGGTACAACAAATTCATGTAAATTCTCGAAAATCTAACATGATATAGTTTTCATGTTACCGTATCAACAAGCGACTTTGTAGTGTAAAATAATTAAATAATACAGTAAAAAAATGAAGATAAAATACTTTTCTTCGGAACTGTACCTTTGGCCCTATTCAGCGAACAAGGTAAGTAACAAAATCTGTTTCAGGTAACAGACTGTGAAATTCCGACATAAATCATTACATTGACATCCATTTTGAAAATCGTAAGAGATATTCGATCCACTGAGAATAAACATTGTCTAGTACCTATCGCACAAATAATGTACGTATCTGTAGGCAGATGTAAGTATATAGGTACTATTTACATATTGAAAATGTCTAGATATTGACGCCTATATATATTTGGAGATAGTATTTCTATGATAGAACTTTTAGAAGTAAGCATTATAATCAGCAGTTTAGTCAGTAATGATAGTTCAGTCAATCAAAAGGTTCGACTGACCATTTTGAAAATCATAATACTAAACCTCAAAAGCCCTGAGTCGCCAGTGACAAAAATTACTTCGTAAAAATGAAATCCTAATGCAAATTCTACTATTGTCATTATTCAGAGTTATTCAGATCATTAGTGAGAGAGACAAAAGACAAAGGATATGCAGTGCTAAACGTGCCATAGTAACATTAACCCAGATTTTAGGCAAGAATAGCATTTCGAGGATTATTATGGAAGGAGTATGTGAGGCGTGTAATTAGATCTTACGCATATCCTGCCTAGTGAAGACAACCAGTGGACCGACTTAAGGTAGTGTTCTAATGTTCACGACAAAATTGCTCACATGGAAAAATATCTTTAAATAGAGCTACTTAGAGGCACTTTATGGTTGCATGCCTATATACAACTTAAAGATTTTCTTTAAAACAAATTTGTTTTACAGTAATGGTATCCGAATTTAGGTATCAGGTGTCCAGCTTAATTACATTCTTCAGCCAAAAACCAAGTAAGGTGTATTTGAACAGAAAATAAAATAGATTTCTTGTCTACTACACATGGTCAATTACTCCACAAATGACTGCACGGTTGGCGCGGTGGCTGGGCAAATGACTGCCGCGCAACGTGGCGCGGGTTCGATTCCCGCACGGAACAACTCTTTGTGTGATCCACAGATTGTTGTTCCGGGTCTGGGTGTCATGTGTATGTGAACTTGTATGTTTGTAACCGCACCCACGACATAGGAGAAAATAGAAGTGTAGGGC